AGAACACCTGGAAATATTGGAAAAGTCAAGTTCCATAACATAATCTTCCATATGTTTGGGTTTGGGTTTTGTCTTCTACAACTGTCTCATTTGTAATAACTTCAGTTTCTGGCTCTGGGTTAGGTGCTGTATATCTTTTATATTCATGTTCAACATCTAACACCACATTTTCCTGATTAAAATTGTTACTGAATTTTACACATCTAACTCTCTTAACATCATTTATCTCTGGAAAATATACTAGATAGGCTGGACTCAGTCCATCACATCCTATGAACACTCCTTGTTCACTGCGAGGGTCCAACTTCTTCTTGTTCTGGACATAAGCATGGCATGGACTTCCAAATACATGCATGTGACTCAGATTTGGCCTTTTTCCAGTGAACATTTCATAGGGAGTTTTCCCAATCCTCGGGTTGTAGCATCTGTTACGAATGTATGCTGAAGCTTTTGCAGCATAAGTCCATAGAGTCTTAGGTACCTTTGCTTCCAACAATAAGCATCTGGCCATATCAAAAATAGACCTCCAAGCTCGCTCCGCTGTACCATTTTGATGTGGTGAATATGGAGCAGAAAATTCATGCTTTATGTGATTTTTAATCATTAGACTTTTAAATTCAGTGGAAGTGAATTCACCACCATTGTCAGACCTTAGTCGTTTGACAGATCCATATGGAGCAGAATCCGCAAAGAATTTTTCTGTAGCTGCCAAAGTATCACTCTTAGATCTCAAAATATAAATCATTATCATACCAGAGAAGTCATCTACAAAGGAAATGACTTACTTAAAACCTTCTCTTGCAGTAGGGTCTACAGGACCTGCTAAATCACAGTGTACAAGTTCTTAATTGGTTGTAGCTCGCTGATCAGGTTCTCTACTTCTAGACGGAGACATTTTACCTGAAATGCATACATTACAATCAAAATTATTCTTATCTGTAATTTTCATACCATTAACAACATTTTCTAATTTAAGTATATCTTTCACATTATAATGCCCTAAAATTTTATGCCATTCCTCAATAGTGTGACTGCTGCTTTTCTGTGAGTTCACATTATTCAGATAATACAGTTTACCATGTTTATTAATATCAAACACTGTACCATCTGAGGCCTTCAATTCTGCAGAATTTGTGGTATAGTTTACTGATGCACCTTTCTCTATGGCTGCTAAAACAGAAAATATATTGTTTATAGGAAGGAACACATCAAGCATTTTTTAGTAGAACTTTATGGCTATTACCATTAACATCATTAATTTCAACTCTTGCATCACCTCTACCTGATACAATACCATTTTGCCTACTACCATCTGCCAATTCTATACAATGGTTAGAAGAATCAAAATTCTGATCAAATTTTACAAACTGGGATTTATCACTTATGATATGTGATGTCGCTCCACAGTCTACCAACAGGCATTGTGTATTTGCATCACTACTTACATTATTATAAACAGAACTGACACTAGCTCTAAATGCAAGTGAATGGCTATCTTCTTCACTGTTAGTTACAGACTTTACTGAATTATTTCTGCGGCAATAATATGTATCATGAGTAGGGGATTTGCAGTTATCACACCACCTACTAGGCTTTGCTTCATTAGGATTATATTTGTCTTTACTTCTGCACTCAGATTTTCTGTGTCCTAATTTTCCACAGGAAAAGCATTTAATATACATATTTTTGAATTTTGTATTCATCACATTATCTGAATCGTCACCTTGTTGTTGTTGACACTTTTCAGTTTCTTCAAAACTTCTTAATGCTACTTTAAATTCAGAGAAACTAACAGCTGTTTCTTTCTGCGTCACAACAGTAGAAAATGTCTTATATTCTAAAGGTAATCCTTTTAATAACATTGCCACAAGTAAATTGTCACTTATGGTTTCACCTGCTAGTTTCAATGAAGCTGCTGCCGTTTCAGCCCGTATCACGTAGTCGGTAATGGTCTCGTCATTGGATTTCTTGAGTGACGTCAGTTCTGTATACAAGGCAATAATTCTTGGCTTGCTGCTGCCTAGATAATGTTCACGGAGAATCTTTAATGACTTCCTACTGTCATCTTTGGCGTTCTTCTCCGTCACCTTTGCACCGATTCCATCTTGATTAACGACATCGAGGAGTTTTTGAAGTCTTAAATGGCCGAAGAACTTCACTTCCCACAACTCATACTTGCTTTCATCACCATCAAACACCAACCTGTGCCTGGGCCCATAACCTGTTGAAGTTACAGTGTTCATTTTTGGTGGATATCAATGAAATATGATGCGAGGGGCTCAGACAATGACACAAACGATGTTGCTCTTTCCAGTATATTTTCGGGACCTTCCGTAAAAACAAAAAACAAAACAAACATAACATGCGCATTCAAAGTGGCGCTTTATTCCTCAACTAAAATAAAACATAATAGAACATATTCACATAAATATGGGGTAACCTAGTTTATATCTAACATAATATGTACGTCATTTCAGCCAAAATAGTACATTTCCATATTTATTTCTGAGAATATATTCATTCAATCACAGTTAAGGTAAAATATACTTGTGATGTAATATTTTAATGAAAATACGGTATTGTAGTTTTCTTTTGTTTCAAAATTTAATTAACAAAGATTGATGTTTCAAATGTAATGAAAAAAATTTATGTACAGTATCGATAAATAAACTTTAAAAAATGAATACTTTATGTTTTACATCGTCCTGTGTTTACCATACCATGCATTTGGCTACTTTGGGCTAGCTATGATGACGCAAGAGATCTGCCCTGGCAACTGTACCGACACTCACAGCTGGTGGTGCGTTGGTGCGTCGTTTCCACTGTTTACTGGTAGTTACTAGTAAATATTTTTCAACCTAACGAAACTATTACCCGTTTAGAGGTCGACCCCCAATTTTTTGCCAAATAATTTGGTCTTAAAAACTCGAACTACACACAGGTATATACGGTAAATAAGGACATGGGGGGCAGCAAAAGTACACGGATTTTTAACATTCACAGGTATCTCTGTTACCTAATCCCCGCGTATGTTTAGGGCCGACTGTACTAGCAAACTGCAGCTTGAATCCTGCAAAGCTGAGGAGGCACTTGGAAACAAAACACCCACTTACAATAAACCCTCAATAACTCGGCATTTGATAACTCGGAATTTCATATAACTCGGCATGGATGTGGTCTCAGAATGTATTATAGTATAACTTGGGAAATGCCGAGATATATAAAATTATCTGGGAAAATCTAGGCATATCTGGCCACCTGCATCACCTACCATGCCTCTGTGTCACCTACTATGATGCTTCATTCTTTGCCTGCAGTGCTGCTAAGTATTAATTTTTTACATTTAGTAATTACATGTTCTGTGGGAATTAATTTCCACCTTTATCCTCCAGATCCTTGAGCACCATAGTAGTGATCTTGTGTGTTAACAAACTTGGAATAACAATGTGGTATATGTAAATAATTTGCTAATTAATTATTGATTTAATTAGCTAGTTAGGATAGGGAAATGATTATGTGGAGTGTAGATAAAAATTTTTGTAAAAACACTATTTGGCACCCGCAAGGCGGATTACTTCACGGGAAGTAGTGCGGTATTCTTCTTTCTCTATTGATCACATTAATATCGCTTAATTTACGCAATATCGGTAGTTAACTAAAAAAAGTAAATATGTATTTATATTAAGAAACAGTATTGTAAAGAAAAATAATAATGAATATTTAGTTCTTGTTTATGCATCACTGCTCGATTGTGTCACGCAATTGTACAAGGAGGTAGAAATGCCATTCTCATTTCACACTTCACGGGAGGCAAACGCAACTCTCAAGATCTGGCAGACAGCCAGCAACCCAAGGATTATTCTAGCATCTCAGTTTCTCCAAGACTCTTTACAACTCATAGCAGCCCCTAAAATAATAGCTAAGTACCTTTTTAAAGTTAGGTCATCACTTATTCTTGGGTACCGCTATTTTAAAAGTACAGGGCTAGCTTAGGTAATTATATTATATAATTTTATATTATATTTTAATAACATAGATTTAATATCTAAATTTGGCTTGGTTTATTATTTGCTGATTTATCCTTATAAATATTTGGAGGAAAAGATGGTAAGTTAGGAAAAAAATTCATGTATCCAATACAAAAGTGAAAATCAAAAATATTTATATGTTACATTCAAGAAGAGTAAATTACCTATATTCCACATGAATTTCAACATAATTTAGTGAGAAGTTATGGAGAAGTAGGATTTTAAAAATTGATAAGAATATAAGGGAAAAATCAGATATCAGGGATTAGGAATTAGGCAGAACCGATTCAGGGGTAGAGCAACAATGTATCTGGTGGTGTCCTTAATTGCTGACTGGAAATTGATATTGATTGATCAATTAATTATTCGCTGTCTTTCAAGGATCCCAGCAATACAAATTATATTCTCCTAACTTTAGTCTGTGATATTATATAAGATAAAAACTTTAAGCCTAAAACACCAAACCCTGGCTGGGAGGGAGAGAGGGAGGGAGGGGACAGTGACATGTTTGACATTTGGGGCCGAAGGTCTGTGTTTATTTATTATGAGTTTATAACCGGTTACTTTGACATTTTATAAGTAAAAAACATAAACTTGTAGGAATATTTAATATAATAAGAGAGAATACATAAACAATTTTGCATAAATAAAATAATAAAAAAGTAAAGAATAACCATGACAGTTAGCTTGTAGAAGGTGATACCAAGGGTAAGCTTTAGTGTGGAAGCTGTGAGTATAAATACATCAAGCGATGCGAAGGGTAAGCTTTAATGTGAAAGCTGTGAGTATAAATACATCAAGTGAAGTGAAGGGTAAGCTTTAGTATGGAAGCTGTGAGTATAAATACATCAGGTGATGCCAAAGTTAAGCTTTAGTAAGGAAGTTGTGAGTATAAATACATCAAGTGATGCAGTTGTGGAAAGTATCGGTAAAAATGCTAAGACAGATGTGAAGAAAGAATACTCATATTACCTTCATAACTTTGTATTTCTCAAAGTCTTTCTTAACCACCATCTCCCTGCAAGTGCCAGTCTCAAGTGTTTCTTGAAGCACTTTAAGGCTGTGTCCAGTTCCTATACCTTTCAAGTCTATTACCTGCACCAAAGAAAGACAGGGAGAATATTTAGACAAGAAAATATACATACAAAAAGATAATCGACTACAAAAACAGTGCTCTATAGATGCAACTCAACATTCACCCTCCTAGAAATTGCCAAAAAATCACGGATGTTAATAATTAAACCTTACGAGAAAAATAGGGGTTGGGGGATCACACCAATGGTGAAGCTGGAAACCAATTACTGTACTTTACATATGAATAAAATAAAATTAAAGACAGAAAAAGCAATCCTATATTTTGTACAGTACAGCATGCCCTGATAATTCTTGGATTTTTAATTCGCAGACCTCGATTATTTACAGATGACACCCTGGATGTACCCAAGAATGTCTAAGGGTAGTATTAAAGTTGCTGGCATTTTCACGGCTGGGACAGGTAGCCATTCGTTCTAGAGACAGTAATTTCTTTTACCTGTATTGTACAGATATGTGTGTGTGAAGACACACACACACAAAACACATACAAATAAAGAATAATGGAAAATCCTCTCACAAATAATCAGAAACAAATGTATTAAAAATGTGCTTTGTTATTAATAAATAGGGCCCGGATGTTTAGGCACTAAAAAACTTCAAAATAGGCAGGCAAAAGGGCAAAATAAAGTGGCAATATAGGCATTAAAAGGCATTTATTCCCAGAGCAATTATAGAAATAAAACTAGAAATATAACTTTACATAAGTTCCATAACTATTACTCATGCAGGTTAATCAGTCTGGTTACATGAAATAACAAGCATTTTCTTGATGTTTTCAAATTTGAACCCATGCCTTCTGTCAGATAGAAGATGCTTGAAGAGTGAGAATGGTCTCTCTACCTCCACCGACGTCACAGGAGCATATTTAAGACATACCACAGTCTGCGGATTCATTTCCCCAACATCTGCATCATTCTGTCCTTCAAGAACTTTTCCAGTATTCTTGATTTTTTTCCAGGTCTCGGTTTGCAGCAATCACTCGTTCACAATTTTCACTTACAGATTTTCCTTTCTTACCGGAAACCCGAGTTATATCAGCAACGATTGTCACAAAACACTTCAAAGCATCAATCCAAGGCATGTTGCATTTCTCCAGTGCATTGATGGCCTCTGGCAGGTTTCCATAGTTTGAAGCAATGAATGCAAGATCAATGCATAGCAATCTATCCTAGTACTGTACTGAGGCAGTGCGTCGACTCGTATACGTCTTGTGCCGACAAAAGCGGTGTTGCCAAGTTTTATGGGTGTGGTTTTCTAAGTTTTATGGTGTTCCAAAACTTTAATTTCGTGTTTGGAGTGTTACTTTGTGGAAATATGTGCAAAAAAGCACAATAGGATATTATTTTGTAGAATAGGCATCATCACTCGCAATTCCCTAAAAAAAGGCAAAAAAGGCATTTTATGGCATTTTGCCTAAACATCCGGGCTCTATTAATAAAGCACAGAGTAGACTTCGAGAGTAGAATTCAACATTTTTAATACATTTGTGTCTGATTATTTGTGAGAGGATTTTCCATTATTATTTATTTGTATGTGTATTGTGTGTGTCCGCACGCACGTGCACACGCACACGCGCACACACACACACAGTAAAACCTCCAGTTTGGTGACTAATTGGTGCCGAAAATCCCTCCCAAACCCAGAATGGCCAAATCAGAGGGCTTAATCCAATGGGAAAAGGCCTAACTAGTACCGAGAGGCTACCCAAAGTCTCAAATTTTTCCCATTTTACCCACATATAGCCTATATTTTTATTGTTGAAAGAGAATGAATAATTAGTCAATCGACATAAACATAGAAAAACCAACCTTAAAATTAAAGTTGAGGAGCTTAATGTACACTAAGGTGGTATCTGAGGCTGGGGAAGGAAGGTTAACGTCCGTCGCCCCCCACCCAAGCCTCCAGTCTCTCCCCTCCCTCCTCCTCCTCCACCACTGCCACCACTTGATCAAAGCCTTCAAAATAGAAGTTCTCTGGTGGGCTAGCTAGGTCATGACAATATTCTTCCCCTTCATCTTCCACCTCAAGTGCTTCAATAACTTGCCTATTTTCTTCTTGTTTGTGGCTCAAGTAACGAGTGATCAGATCTTGTTTGCCGTCATTTATTTTCTTGTTATAAATTTCTTGGTAGCGACCTCGTATTTTATTAAGCAAACCCATGATCATTCCACGAGCATCATGGTTTGGCTCAACCAACAACATCTGCTCTTCGAGGATGTCACACATGCCTAGGAACATGAACAGACCACGAGTTGTTGCACAATTTGTGGGGGTGTTTCTTGCTGAACTTGGTTTTCTTCTCTCAGCATCTCCTCAATGCTTTCTGGGGCCTTATTTGCTCCTAAAAGTTCGTTAATTTGGTCCTCGTTCACGCTATTGAAGCCAGGGGCCGGGATACTTTGGACTGACTGAACTGTCTCCCGTAAGAGATCTTCCTGTCACTGGCGGCTATCCTGTGACTTAGCAAGATGAGGGAGTAACGACATCCAGGTATGGTGAACTGTTGCTTTCGTTATCTGGTTCCAGGCTGACACCAGATAATTGACTGCCTCACGAATATTGAATATTTTCCAAAATGCCTGGACAGTAACAACTTCTGCCTGTTCATCCAAGGGAGAGGGTGGGGGACAGGTGTGGTGGGGGAGGGAGGGGGGGACAAGTGTGATGGGGGGGGAGGGCGAGGGTGCGTTATCTACCTCGCTACCACTTTCCCTTTCTTTCTCCCCCATTTCATCCTGTGTGTCGGTCTGCCTTCTTAGCCGGTCATGCACTTGTTTATAAAATATCAACTTTATGTTGGCTATGACCTCTTGGTCAAGGGGTTGAGTTTTGCTGGTTGTATTAGGAGGCAAAAAGCACACCTGGACATTTGGATGGCAGCCTACAAGATACTTGGCATGCCCAGGGGGCATTATCAAGAAAGAGCAATATTTTGAATGCCAGGTTCTTTCGCTTGCATTTTCCTTTGCCTCGCACACAAACATGTCATCAAACCACTCCACCAACAGAAGGGCATTCGTATAACCTTTGGCATTGATACGCCAGTGGATATTGAGTTTGTTCATATCACAATTTTTATAAGCTGGGGGCAGGATGCATGATAAATAATAAGGAATTTCATTTTGTGGTCACCTGATGCATTGCAGCACAACAGAACACTTGCTCGATCCTTGGCCATCTTAACACCTCTGGCCTGTTTTTCATTCTTTGAAATAAATGTTGCCCATGGTGACAGCTTCCAATAGAGGCCTGTTTCATCACAATTGTTTATCTGGTCAAGTGTATAGCTGCCTTCTCCCACAATCTGTCTTGCTACTTCTGGAAAAGATGCAGCTGCAACCTCATCAGCAGACGAGATTTCACCTTGGTATAACAAATATTTCACACCACACCGGTGCTTGAATTTGTCCAGTCAGCCTTTTGAAGTCACAAATGAAGAAGGGTTGATTTGTCTTTTTTTTTTACAAATAGCAGCATAGAAAAGTCTGGCCTGTTCCCTAATCAGAGGCCCACTGACACTGGCTTTGTCCTTAGATCTACGGGAAATCCATCTCGTCAAGCACTTTTTATCTGTTGTTTCTTTCAATGTGCTGCACCTCCTCCTGTAGTATCTTGCATTATTTAATGGGAGAATGACAAGCACATGATTGGTCTGGCTGGGCGCTTATTCTCTGTTCCTGGTTACCACGTGCCTAACACATTTCGTGTTTATACAAGCCTAAACACTTTCTGACTTTGGTAAGAAGTAACATAATATGTAATATATATATTCAATAAAGGCAACATATAAACATACATATATATAACACTATTTCTCCCTTTCAAAAGAGAGCATGGCTGCTACAAATCCGAAATAAACAAAACTTACAGAATTACATATGGCAGGGAAGAAGGGAATAGAACACAACAAATATAACTTCTTAACTAAATAGTTTTGAAAGGCCTGTTCACAATTCACATAATTAGAGGTCTAATTTAATTACAGGTCTCCTAACTCTGTTTGATCTTCTCGGACTATTCCCTCCATCAAGTTGTACAGGGGTTTCACTTGCACTCTGTGCATTATCAGTGACAGACATATCATCACTACAGTCAGTTGACACAGTGAGTGGATGCTGGGAAACATCATCTTTGACATCATCATGATGATGATCATCTGAAACTGTGTCAAGTTTATCATCATGTCCTGGTGCTACATTCATCTCGTCATGTGCCTGAATGATGTGATCCACATGAACATATCTCAAAGAGTTACCACATTTCACTAAATATGTCCTAGATCCACATACCTTGTCAATGACACCAGTTATCCACTTTGCATGTACAGTACCATAACCTTTAGCCATATTCCTAACTCTCACCCTATCATTTACCTTGAACACTCTTTCACTGGAAATCTTATCATGATACATCTTTTGTTGAGCTTGTTTCCTCTCTACAACTTCAAACAGACTTGGCTTAACTAAACTTAATCTTGTTCTCAACTGCCTCTTCACCATTAACTCTACAGGAGTACATCCTGTCACACTATGTGGCGTGGTTCTGTATCTGAGTAAGAAATTTGCTAGTCTGTGTTTCATTGATTTTCCTACAGTTCCTTGAATTACCTGCTTGGAAAGTGCTTCCTTTACAATTCTAACTGATCTCTCAGCTGCACCATTAGAGGCAGGATCATATGGTGGGGTCAGTACATGCTTTACACCGTTGAATCTCATGAAGTTTTTAAACTCTGATGATTGGAATAGAGGACCATTGTCAGAAACTACCTCTTCTGGTATTCCATGTTCGGCAAATATTAATCTTAATTCATCAATGGTGCTACCAGCATTAGTACTGTACATGTGCTTAACATCAATCCACTTTGAATGACTATCAATTAATACAAGAAATTTGTCTGTTCCCTTATCACAGAAGTCAATGTGTACTCTTTGGAAGGGACGGGTAGGCCATTTCCAGGTTTTCAAAGGTGTGCTGGGTGGCATACTCCTAACATTCTGACA